GATATATAAGGAAGATAGTGTAACACGCCAGAGATGCTTACAGTTAATATTTGTGATTTTCATCCTTCATAAATTTTCACACATATATATCTCAATATTATTGGATACTATGGTTTTTAAATTCAACACCATATTTAAATATTTTTAAATCAAAAGTATTTTTTCATCATTTAAAAGATTATTTTGAATAAGACATTCTTTATGTTTTTAAAATATCTCATTTTTCTGGCAGCAAAACTAATGTAAATTTTTAAAGAAAAATTGAACCAGGAGAATGTTATAATATAGATGTTGATATAATCCTATATCTCCATCACCCCAGTCCCTGCCTGCCTATCCAGATATGCTCTATTAATTATTGGCAGATGTTTTCTATATTTTTTTACATATTGTTCAAACATATGTATTCTGCTTCGAAAATGGGGCCATATCATACATTCCATTCTGCATTTTGCCTTTTAAAAAACATAACATGACGTTTCCATATCGCTACGTATATAGCAACTTCATTGTTTTTAGAAGCGACATATTGTAAAATCTTATGGATAGGCTGTCTACTATGGTTTGAAAGTATGTTCCTCCAGAATTCATATGTTGGAACCTAAACCCTAAGGTGATGGTGTTAAGAGGTGGGGCTTTCAGGGAAGTGATTCAGAAGTGCTCTGCCCTTGTGAATGGGATTGATGCCCTTAAAAAAGAGACTTCGGGGAACTGCCTGGCCCTTCCATATCTTCTGCCATGTGAGGACACTGTTTCTCCCTTTTGCCCCTTCTGCCGTGTGAAGATGCAGCAAGAAGGTGCAAGCCCTCTTCAGACACTGAGTCTGCTGGCATCTTGATCTTGGACTTCCTAGCCTCCAGAACTGTGAGAAATATTTATATTATTTATAAATTATCCAGTCTACGGAGTTTCTGCTATAGCAGCAGGAAAGGACTAAGACACCTTACTTACTGTTTAATAACCTGCTTTTTCTTTAAACTGCTTTATTGAGGTATAATTGACCTAAAATAAACCACATGTATTTAAAGTACATAATATGTTTTGATATATATATATAAACTGTTAAACTATCACCACAATCATCATAGCAGCTCTTCCTTGCACCACTTTTTAATCACCCCCCACTCAATCCTTATCCCTAGTCACTTATCTGCTTTCTGTCACTATAGATTTATTTGTTTTTCTAGAATTTTATATGCATACACTTGTACAGTGAGTCACCTTCTTTATCAGCTTCTTTTACTCAGAAGAATTATTTTGAGATTCATTCTTCTTGTTATATGTATCAATAGTTTACTCCTTTTTATTGCTGATTAGTAGTCCATTGAATTTACATACAACAGTTTGTTTAGCCACTCACCTATGAATGGGCATTTTTATTGCTTCCAGTTTGGGGCTGTTACAAATAAAGCTGCTACAAAATTTATGTAAAAACTTTGTGTCATCATACTTTTTTTCTTTTGCATAAATACCTAATGGTAGAATGACTGGATCATATAGATGTATGCTTAACATTTTAAGAAACTGCCAAATTTTTCCAAGGCATCATTTTACATTCCCATCCAAAATATATGAGAGTTCAGTTCTCCACATTTTCACCAACACTTGGTGTACACAATTTTTAACTGCTATATTAAGTGTGTGCAGTTGCTTCCTTATTAATTATGATGTTGAACATCCTTCATGTGATTATTTGCCATTCATATATCTTCCTAGTGAAATGTTGATTCAAATATTTTCCCTATTTTTATTGGGCCATTTTTCCTTGTTATTTAATTTTAAGGATTCTGTATACATTCTGTATAGAAGTCCTTCATCAGATATATTCTTTTAAAATTTTTCTTGCAGTTTAGGAAGGGTTTTCATCCTCATAACACTTCAAACAGCACAATTTTTACATTTTGATGAATCTGACTTATTTCATTCCCTTAAGGATTATGATATGCCGTCGTATATAAGAAATCTGTGCCTAAACTGAAAGCCATAAAGGTTTTCTTCTATATGTTTTCAATGTTTTATGGTTTTAGATTTCACATTTAGTTCTATGATTTATTTTTAAATTTTTGAACAAAATGTGAATTTTTACATTTATATTCAATTGTTCCTGGGTCACTTGTTGAAAAGAATATGTTTCTTCCTCTGAATTGTCTTTGCATCTTTGTAAAATATCAAATGTCCATATATGTGTAATGTATTTCTGACATCTCTCTTCTATTTCATTGTTCTATTTGTTTATTTTTACAATAGCACTACATTATCTTGATTAATGTACCTTCAAAAGAAGTCAGGAAGCATGTCCTCCAACTTTGTTCTTTATCAAAGTTGTTTTGGCTGTTCAACCTTCTTTGCATTTTCATTTGAATTTTAGAATCTCCTAGTTAATTTCTACAAAAAGACTTCTAGGATATTGATTGGAATTGTAGTGACTCTATTGATCAATTTAAGTGGAATTGAGACCCTAACAATTGAGTGCCCAATCCATGAATATTATGTCTCTAAAATCTGTATTGTTGTATATCAATATAGTCATTCGAGCTTCCTTTTGATTAGTGTTGTCATGGTATATTGTTTCCATCCTTTCACTTTACTTCTTGGTGTGTCTTAATAACTACAGTGGGTTTCTTTCTAGCAGCCTATAGTTTAGTCTTGATTTTTAACCCAACCTTACTAAAGTCTCTGGTTTTGGGTTGTTTAGACCATTTACATTAAATATGGTTGTTGATATGATTGGGTTTAAACCTACCATCTTGCTAATTTTTTAAAAACATTTACTTTAAGTTCTGGGATGCATGTGCAGAACTTGAAGATTTGTTACATAGGTATACATGTGCTGTGGTGGTTTGGTGCATTTATAAACCTGTCATCTAGGTTTTAAGCCACGCATGCATTAGGTATTTGTTCTAATGTTCTCCCTCCCCTTGGCCCCCACCCCGCAACAGGCCCCAGTGTATGATGTTCCTCTCCCTGCGTTCATGTGTTCTCATTGTTTAATTCCCACTTAGGAGTGAGAACATGTGGTGTTTGCTTTTCTGTTTCTATGTTAGCTTGCTGAGAATGATGGCATCCAGCTTTATCCATCTTCCTGTGAAGGACATAAACTCATTCTTTTTTATGGCTGCATGGTATTCTATGGTGTAAATGTGCCACATTTTTTTTACCCAGTCTATCATTGATGGACATTTGGGTTGGTTCCAAGTCTTTGCTATTGTAAATAGTGCTGTAATAAACATATGTGTGCATGTGTCTTTATAGTAGAATGATTTATAATCCTTTGCATATATACCCAGTAGTGGGATTGCTGGGCCAAACGATATTTTTGGTTCTAGATCCTTGAGGAATCACCAAACTGTCTTCCACAATAGTTGAACTAATTTATACTCCCACCAACAGTGTAAAAGCATTCATAGTTCTCCACAGACTTGTCAGCATCTGTTGTTTCCTGACTTTTTAATAATTGCCATTCTGACTGGCATGAGGTAGTATATCATTGTGGTTTTATTTGCATTTCTCTAATGACCAGTGATGATGAGTTTTTTTTCATATGTTTGTTGGCCACATAAATGTCTTCTTTTGAGAAGTGTCTGCTCATATCCTTTGCCCGCTTTTAAATGGGGTTGTTTTTTTTTCTTGTAAATATGTTTAAATTCTTTGTAGATTCTGGATATTAGGCCTTTGTCAGATGGGTAGCTTGCAAAAATTTTCTCCCATTTTGTAGGTTGCCTGTTCACCCTGATGATAATTTCTTTTGCTGTGCAGAAGCTCTTTAATTTTATTAGACCCCATTTGTCAATTTTGGCCTTCGTTGCAATTGTTTTTTTGTGTTTTAGTCATGAAGTCTTTGTCCATACCCATGTCCTGAATGGTATTGCCTAGATTTTCTCTAGGGTTGTTATGATTCTGGGTTTTACATTTAAGTCGTCAATCCATCTTGAGTTAATTTGTGCATAAGGTGTAAGGAACAGGTCCAGTTTCTCTTTTCTTCGTATGACTAGCTAGTTTTCCCAGCACCATTTATTAAATAGGGAATCTTTTCCTCATTGCTTGTTTTTGTCTGGTTTGTTGAATATCAGATGGTTGTAAATGTGTGGTGTTATTTCTGAGGTCTCTGTTCTGTTCCATTGGTCTATATATATGTTTTGGTACCAATTCCATGCTGTTTTGGTTACTGTAACCTTGTAGTATAGTTTGACGTCAGGTAGCATTGTGCCTTCAGCTTTGTTCTTTTTTGCTTAGAATTGTCTCAGCTTTACAGGCTCCTTTTCCGTTACATGAAATTTAACGTAGTTTTTTTCTAATTCTGTGAAGAAAGTCACTAATAGCTTGATGGGAATAACACTGAATCTGTAAATTACTTTGGGCATTATAGCCATTTTCATGATATTGAGTCTTCCTATCCACAAGCATAGAATGTTTTTCCATTTGTTTGTGTCCTCTCTTATCTCCTTGAGCAGTGGTTTGTAGTTCTTGAAGAGGTCCTTCACATCCTTCGTAAGTTGTAGTCCTAGGTATTTAATTCTCTTTGAATTCTCTTTGTAGCAATTGTGAATAGGAGTCCACTCATGATTTGGCTCTCTGCTTGTTTATTGTTGGTGTATAGGACTGTTTGCGATTTTTGCACATTGACTTTGTATCCTGAGACTTTGCTGAAGTTGTTTATTAGCTTAAGGAATTTTTGGGCTGAGACTAAAGGATGCCTTCTCTCGCCACTCCTATACAAAACAGTATTGTAAGTTCTGGCCAGGGTAATCACGCAAAAGAAAGAAATAAAGGGTATTCAAATAGTAAGAGAGGAATTCAAATTGTCTCTGTTTGCAGACGACATGATTCTATGTTTTGTTAATTGTTTTCTATTTGTCTCATCTTCTCTTTGTTCCTCTTTTCCTCTTGTTCTGCCTTCTTTTGAATTAATTGGGTATGATTCATGATTCCATTTTAAATGTCTTTAACTTATGACAGTGTATCTTCAAGTTATATTACACAATTTCATGCCTTGATTTTTATTAACTACTGAATAATGCTACCAGGATGCTAAAAATGATGATGTTAACCCATTCCAGTACAGTATTGTTTTAAAATGAAAAAGTATTTAAAACCAAGAACTCTGCCTTTATGATGCTAAGCTGATACTATTTTTTGTCTTATCTCTCTTTTAAGCCCATCATCCTCTTTTTGCTTTGTTGCTATCACCTTCCATTCTCTTCTCATTGCCTCCCAGGCAAGTAGCTGGTCAGTCATTGTTCAGTGTCCAGCTTCCAAAGCCTAGACAACCTTGCTGTAGCCTAAAACTAATTGTCTTTGCTCCAAATAACTCTCTTTCCTTGAGCTGTTGTGAGCTTTGAGGCAGGTGGCTCAAGCTAGAGATAAAACAGAACCTTCTGGGCAGTCCCCTGTTAATTATTTTCAGCCCAGGCTTTTGCTAGATGGAATGGAAAAGTAACTTCATTTGACACAAAGCTTTTAAATCAGGTAAATTGTCAGGGGAGAGAGTTAGCATGTATGGATGTAAGGATGAGGGAAATGAAGCAAGAGGAAGCTCTTGCCATGATGAGACATGCAGCTGCCTACCTAACGAGGACTTCAAGCCCCACCACACAGCATGCTTTCTTTCTCTCCTGGCTTGGGGTAAGAAGTGGCTGTGGAGCTTGGCAACGCTAATCTCAATGTCATAACATATAGTTTAGGCTGACGATAAAGAAGAAAGATTTTAAGTTTGTAGTAAAAGTGGTCTCTGCTGGGGAAGGGATTTTTTTTTTCTTTAATAACAAGGAGATTTCTTAGTTCATATATCAAGAAGCCTTGAAGTTGGGTGTTTACAGAATTGGTAAATACAGCAACTCATATAGAATTTTGATGATTCCATGAGCTGCTCATCAAAATTATTTCCTCTTTCTGCTCTGCCATCTTCAGGATATTATTGGTTGCTCCCCTCATAGTAGTAAGATGTCTGTGGCGTTTCCGAACATCCAAAAAAAGAAAGAATTTTAGGAGGTGGAGTAGGGTCAAACATAAAATATATATACATATGTGCATTGTTTAGAACATTAAACTATTTCACTCAGAGTACTTCCCTCCCAAAGAGGGATGTTTGAAAGAACTCTGAAGGAGAGAAGGAATTAATTGGGTTGCTAATTTCCTCTCCACTGCTGGACATGACATGGAGAGGCTGTGGGACAGGATCTGTAGGCAGCTTCTAAGAGAGAACTTCACATAGGAAGGGATCTGAGAACACATTGCCAGGGGCTTGAGAAGGTTACTGAGTGAGTTATTGGGAGTCTTAATAAAATAAGTTAGATGTTAGGTCCATTCATTAATTAGTTCCAGTTTCTCGTTGAAATGACTAAAAGCTAGAAGGCTTCCCCCCACATTGTTGTGCCCCTTCATTCATTTTTTTTTTTTTTTTTGGCTCTGTTAACATCTACGCTAATGTATAGAACTGCCTGGGGGGCAAGGTTAGCAATCTCTTCACTACCCTGATTCTAGATTCCTGGCTCTACCCTGTCTGTCCCTTTTCTCTTAGCAGATCTTTCTCTTCCCTGAACGTTTTCTTCTTTCCCTGGACAGGCAGCCTCCTGTGTGTATATTCAGAGGCGGTGATGACTTGCTGTCCAGGCAGCTCCATCCTGCTGACAGAATGCTCAGGGTCAGTGAACCACTGCTTCTCTTTTGAAAGTACAGCTAGCTGCCACTTTCACATGGTCTCCAGAGTGTCTCCACCTACACCCTGTGCTCCCCTGCCACACTGATGGCTCAAGACAAGGCTGGCAAACCCTCCCAGAAACATCTCTGGCCCAGAGAGCCACTCTCATGAGGCATTGCCAAGCCAAGCGCTCACGTTGAATCAGTGAACCAGCCACAGAGCAAAAGAGCGTTTGTTTTCAGTCCCCTCTGTCTGGGTCAGAACCAGAGATCAGGTTGAATGCCCCCTGCTTGCTCGGTAAGGATGCTCCACCTGAGTCAGTGCTCTCAACTGGCAGTGCAATACTTGTAGAAGTAGGAGAAAACAGTCCCCATTGGGAAGAAGCAAGGGTAAGAACCCAAGTGCCTCACCTTGAAATGAGGCCCTGTTCCCTGGAGTCAGGGTGGACTGCAAAGCTTTGGCTGAGACTTGGGATTTGAAATACCATAAACGCTGCTGAACAGAGCGTCTGTTCAGCAAACTAACCAGCATTCCCCACGGCCTAGAGCAGACAATAGTATAAAAGTCTGGAAAAAAACAAAAACAGTACATCAGTGTTTTCAGAACCTTGGACGACTCCTGTCCCTTTACCTTAGTCATCAAAGCAGAAGCCTGGTTTTGCTCTAGCAAGATTGAAAATGTACACTACCGAACACGCAGTACACTGTTGAGCCCCAGTGGTGGAAGGGAGGAGGGCCTTTCTTCCTATGCTAATTGCATAGAGGCTACAGGGGTTAGCCTGGACTAAAGGCATCCTTGTCTTTTGAGCTATTCACCTCAGGAGAAAAGAATCTAAGGGAAGATCACTGTAGTTTAGATCTGTTGACCTGTGACCCCCTGGAAATGTCTAATTTCATAGGTCATCAGATGCCTGTTTGATAATATATGAACAATAAAAACAACTTTCACTTATTCCTATTGTAAAAAAATAAAAAAGAATCTTTCCACAGTACACTTTTATTTCTCCATCCCCAAACTTTGTGCTATTGTTGTCATACATTTTACTTATACATACGTTTTAAAATCCACAGTATCTTCATATCATTTAAATAGTTAATTCTGAAGACACTTAAATAATAGGAAAATATCTGTTTGATTTATTTATGTGGTTACCATCTCCAGTACACTTATATTACTTTGTATAGCCAAATTTTATCTGAAATCATATTCCACTTCCCTGAAGGACTTCCTGTGGCATATCTTGTAGTAGAATTGTGCTGGTGACAACGACTTTCAGCTTTGCATGTCTGAAAACCTATGTATTTCTCATTTCATTTTGAAAGTTATTTTCACTGAATTAGATATTCAGGTTAATTTTTTCTTAATTAATTTAAAGATGTAGTTACACTGTCATCTAACTTGCATTGTTTCCAATGAGAAATTGAAGATCATCACTTCCTTGGTACTCTGCACACAATGTGCTTTTTCTCTTGCTTTTTAAATTTACTCCGTCACTAGTTTTGAGCAATTTGATTATGACATAACTTGCTAAATTATCCCTCAATCCATTAGCAGTCCTTTTCCTCCTTTTTTTTTTTTGTCTCTTTGTTCATTTTGGATAAATAGTTCTATTGCTCTGTTATCAAGCTCACTAATCATTTCATCTTTACTGTGTAATCTGCTATTAATCCCATCCAATGTATTTTCAATCCCATAAACTGTAGTTTTCATATATTGAAGTTGGATTTGGACCTTTTTATATAATTCATGAGTCTCCTTGACAGATCCAATTGTTTCTCTAGTTTTTGGCACATCTCAATCCATGTTCCAGCACTTAGAATACTTGAAACTTATAATTTATAAAGAAAAGGAATTTATTTCCTGCAGTTCTAGGGGCTGAGAAGTGCAACATTGAGGGGCTGCATCTGGCAAAAGTTTTCTTGCTGGTAGGGACTCTTCACAGTCCCAAGGTGGTACAGAGCATCACATACTAAGCATGCTAACAGGGTAGCTAGGTCTTTCTGTTCTGAAATTGATCTTTTTAGGTGCTCAGTATTTGAATTGCTATACATATTCTTGTGGCTTGTTCTGAAATGTGGTTACAGTTTTTGAAAAGAGTTTGATCCTCTCAGGTCCTTTTTTAAAACTCTTCTTTAAAATTGGAATAAAAGCAGCCTTTAGTCTAGAACTAACTTGCCCTACACAGGTAAAACTTTCTGAGTATTCTTACTTGATGCCTGTAAATTGTGAAGTTTCTCACTCTAATTCATGGGAACAGAAAACGTTCCTTGTCCTGTTTGAGCTGTGGGAACATATCTTTTCCTTCCTTCCTTCCTTCCTTCCTTCTTTCCTTCCTTCCTTCCTTCCTTGCTTCCTTCCTTCCTCCCTCCCTCCCTTCCTTCCTTCCTCCCTCCCTCCCTTCCTGCCCTCCCTCTCTCCCTCCCTTCCTTCCTTCCCTCCTTCCTCCCCTCCCTCCCTCCCTCCCTTCCTGCCCTCCCTGTCTCCCTCCTTTCCCTCCTTCCTTCCCTCCTTCCTTCCTTCCCTCTCTCCCTCCCTCCCTTCCTTCCTTCTATTTTTGTCTCACTCTTTTCCAGGCTGGAGTGCAGTCACAAGATCATGGGTCACTGTAGCCTCAACTTCCCAGGCTCAAGCGATCCTCTCACCTCAGCCTCCAGAATAGCTGGAACTATAGGCACACACCACCAAAGCTGGCTAATCGTTTTGTATTTTTTTTTTTTTTTTTTTTTGGTAGAAGGAGAGTTTCACCCAGGCTGGTCTCAAGTAATCTGCCCACCTCAGCCTCCCAAAGTGCCGGGATTATAGGCATGAGCCACTATGCCTGGCCCCCTGCAATCATTTCATTCTTTTTTTTTTTCTGTAGAAAACTGTAAATATTACATTTATTTTTAATATTTACATTTGGTTCTGTAAACAAAGTTGGTAAAAAAATTCCCAAGAATTTCCATACATACTTATAAAAATTTCAAGAATATGATCCTTATGACTTCTGAAAAGTATGCATTTTTTAAAGTCTAAAAGCCAGTAAATGTAGAAGTTGAAGGGGAAGAGAAAAACATTGTCAACAGATTATTTGAATTTTCCTTTTCCCAAATATCTAAAACATTGCATATACCACTGTTTTCAGTGTAGCTTGTGAAACTCAATTCTGATTTCTCTTCATTAGTCTGAAACAAGCCTAGTAAAGACTGTACCAGTGAACTACAAATTCTGTTTTCTTCTTGTGTAATAAATTCAGTTGTTTTATCAAATTCAAATTTGGTTTCAGATATTATTTTCTATTTCATCAAAGTAATATTTTCACTTTTCAATGTATTTTACCAGAAGGTAAACTATTCATATTCTCAATAACACATTCATTGGGCTCCTCAGAAGTGTGTGATGGAGCCTTTGCCTGAACAGTTAGGTGCTCTTGTGAACTGTTTATTGTTATCAGACCAGAATCATGAGCAAATATTGAATGAAGGTCCTTTTCCTTGAGATCCTTTACTGGAAAACGCACAGTATCTGACTTTTGTTTTGGTTGAGATGCACTATTATCTGTATTGAAATCAGAAACATTTACAGATGCCTGTATGTTACAACAATGGTGATCTACCTTTAGTAATTCTAAGTCATTTTCATTTAATGTGTGTTCAGAAATGTCAAGAATGCATTCCTGTTTGATTTTATGTAGAGGTAGGTGTATAAAATTCTGTCTTATGTCATTTTCAGCTGTATTTAACATGGAACATTTATTAATTGTTTTCTTATTAAGTCCTCTCAATTTATTTGAAGGGTGGGTTTGGGCTCTGAAATAAACACAAGCTTTTTTTCAATTTCCTGGGTGTCTTTATACAAGAAATTCTGCTCCATTGCCTGTATATCATCTTTCCAGCAATCTTTCTGAGAAATATATTGCAATTCCACTTTTTCTTTCTGTTCTGTCTTTGTCAGGGCATTTGCAGAAACAGGAGAAAGAGATTCAACATTGTATTTTATTCTTTTCTTTTTAGGTGTGTCCTTTTCATATTCCACAAAGTCAAAAACTAACTTAGATACAATATCATCAACAACTTGATACTGGTTACTCTGTTCAAGGTTTCTGTGTTGCTCACTTAGAAGGTGCTCAAATCCCAACACCTGCTTTCACTAATTTTCCTTCTTTGTGGCAACCAATGAACATATTTTCCATTTTTTAGCCTCGAAATTTTCTGAGCACCAAATTAAACATCTATTCCAGATTGTTTTGTTGCTATACCAGCAAAGTAAAACTTCAGGACCAACAGTTTCTATATCTTCATATTTCTGCCAGCAACATTCACAATATCCTTTTCTCTTCTCTTTCAACTCGAGTTGAATTGAGGTTCCACCATATTTATCACCATCCATCTGGATTCTTAGTTTAACCTGAGTTTGCTTTTGCATACTAGATGGCTTTTCTACATCAAATGGACTGCAGGGCTTCTGTATAGAATAATTTATAAAAGGCATATTGGTCAGCTGAAGATAAAATAGCCTACAAAGTTGGCTCATATCTTCTACCTTTGCAAAAGGCTTTTTGAGTCTTCTTGTTCTTGGGTTTTTTTTTTTTTTTTTTTTTTTTTTTTGTGCACCAGTACCAACTCTTTCCTCCACATCCCTTACTTACTGAAGTACTCGATTTATTGAATAAATACAACTTTTGTTTTCTTTTGTTCAATGTAGCATCCAATGTAATCAACATGAAGCATTTTTTACTCCCTATGATAAGGCATTTGTTAATACACTATTCGAAGGAATAAAATCATGGTCCTTGATAGCCCTTTCAACTAATAATTTTCCTCTGCTTAAACACACCTGTAAAAAGACTGTGTCTGGTGACTTAAGTGAACTTCCAGCATGGCTGGGATGAGGTGATGTGGTTTCTGCAGATATGCAGATTCTGGACTTTCTACAGGAGAAATTCGACCCAAGGTTTGTGCAAATTTAGCTTCCTTTTTATTTGAAATAAAATAACTGATATCTTTGCTGAGAAATTCTTCAACTCTCTCTCCCAGATCCTTAATGTCCTTTTGCAGTTTTTCAGATATGGTGACAGAAGGTAAGTCAAGGTAAAATACTTTTCCCCGAAGTGCTTTATATTTTGATTTTTTCTGATCTGTTATGAGTTTTCAGAGATTTCAAAGATGGTCTGCTTTTATCATTTTTTATTTGTATTCCACCTGCCTGGAAAGATCCTTTACTGTGGATCCTCATGGCTTCGGAGTTCATGGCAGCTGCCCGGCAGCTACGTGCTAGGTCCGGAGAAAGTGTGGCACCAGGTGGCTGAGAAAGCACGGAAGGAGGACGGTGCAAAGCACAAACCCCCTCCAATCATTTCATGTGAGTCTGTCATCTGCCAAGGGGAACATACTCACACACACTTGCTGATCATTACTCAGCTGAAGACTACAGTAAGACTATGGCAGATATATGGAGCTGACTCTTTGCAGTTAGCTCTTCTTCAAAACTCTGCTCTCCCAACTCTAGCCTTTCACTTCTGATTCTGTATTCTTAACTCGGGGAGATTACTAAGATCTACTTGGGTACGTGCCTGCCATACAGGCCTGAAAACTTTCCAAACAGTAAGCTGGAGTAATCTTAGTGCTCACATAATTTATTTCCTGTATCTTAAGGATTGATGTCTTTTTTCATCCAATAGCCAATGTCTTAAAAAGCATTTATTCATATTTTTTTCTGGTTCTATAGGTGTTTCGGGAGGTACCAGTTTTCCAAATCTTGCAAAAATATAGTATAATATTACAATTATAATATTGACTTTTGACACCACCAAAATAGAAAACAATTCCATCAGTACAAAGATCCCTCATGATGTCCCTTTTATAAACATGCCCAACTCACTCTCCCACCCCATTCCTGACTCCTTGACCATAGACAATCACTAAATTGTTCTCGATTTTTTTGTAATTTTGTCATTTCAAGAATGTTACATAAAGGAATTATACAGTTTATAATATTTTAGGATTGGCTTTTTTTCAGTCAGTACAATTCCCTGGAGATTTCATCCAACATTTTGTGTATATCAATAGTTATTTCTTTTTTATTGAAGAATAATACTTCATGGTGGGGTATGCTACATTTGTTAATTATTTGCCCATTGATGGATATATGGGTTATTTTCAATTTTTGGTATGTTATATATTTGGTATGTTAATCCGTTAAATAAAGACGCTGTAAACCATATACAGATGATTTTGGTAATATGTTTTCTCTGGGACAAATTCCCAAGAGTATAATTGATGGGTTATGATAGTTGAATATTTAGTGTTATAAAAACTGCCAAACTTTTCCATAGTGGCTATACCATTTTACATTCCTGGTAGCAATGTATCAAGTTTCTCTGCTGTATACTCAACAGCATTTGGTATTATCATTTAAAAAATTAGCCATTCTGATATACAGATAATGATATCACATTGTGGTTTTAATTTGCATGTCTCCAGTGATCAGTCTTTTCATGTGTTTATTTGCCATAACAAATCCTACTTAGTGAAATACTTGCTTATTTTCTAATTGGATTGCTTATTTGTTACTATTAAGTTTTGAGAGTCCTTCATGTATTCTGAGTATTAGTCCATTATCCTATGGGTGTGTGCAAATATATTCTTGTGCAAATATATTCATATAGTGTATAGTTTATTCTTTCGTCCTCTTAACATGTCTTTGTCAGAACCAAAGTGTTTAATTTTGACAAGTTTGAGTTTTTTAATTTTGTTTTTATGGATAGTGGCATTTGTTTCAAGTCTAACAACTGCTTACCCTAAATATTGAAGATTTTCTTGACAAGTTGTGTAGATTTACATGTCACATTCAAGTTCATGACCCATTTGGAGTTAATTTTTATATAAGTGAAGTTTAGGGTGGATTTTGCTTCTTTGCCTATGGATGTCCAATAGCTCCAGGACCCTTTGTTGAAAAAGATTCTTCTTCTCCACTTAAATTGCTTTTGCTTGCCAAAACTTTATTAAGCATATTGTTTGGGTCTATTTTGGGGTTCTCCATTCTGTCCCATTGATCTTTGTGTCTATCTCATTGCAAATATCCTATTTTTATTGTTTTGATTACTGTGTCGTATATTAAGTACTAATGTCAGTAGAGTGATTCAACTATTTTAGTTCCCTCGATTTTCTGTACAAATTTGAAAATAAGCTCATCTATTCCTGCAAAAACATGCTGGGATTGCGAAATCAGTTAAACCTACAGATCCATTTGGGGATAACAGATATCTTTATTGAGACTTTCAATCCATGAACACAGTTTCCAATACTTTCCAAGCATTCAGGTCTTCTTTTATTTCTTTAAGCAGCATTTTGTAATCCTCAGCATACAGAATCTACACATGTTCTGTTAAATATATACCTATATATTTCATTTACTTTGAAGGGATTGCAAATGATATTGGCTTTTTAAATTTTTGGTCTCTGCATGTTTGTTGTTAGCATGTAGAAATATGATTACTTTTTTTTAATGTTGATCTTTCATCTTGAAACATTGCCAAACTCACTGATTAGTTCTAGGGGTTTTAGTAGACTCATTGGAAATTACTACTTAGATAATTATGTCATTTGCAAACAAGGACAGTTTTATTTCTTCCTTTACAGTACATATGTCTTTTGTATCTTTTCTTGCCTCATTGCAGTGGCTAGAATTTCCAGTACTATATTGAATAAGAATGGTGAGAGCAGAAATCCTTGCCTTGTTCCTAATCTTAGAGCAAAAGCATTGTCTTTCACCACAAGATATGATGTTAGTTATAAGTTTAATAGATCTCTTTATCAAGTTAGAGTTATTTCCTTGTATTCCAATTAGCTAAATGTTTTTATTATGATTGGATGATGGGTTTTTTCAAATGCATTCTGCGTCAATTGGTATGACCATATGATTTTTCTTTTGTTTATTGATATAGTAAATTATACGAATTAATTTTCAAATGTTGAATGAGCCCTTTTTTTATAATTTGATTTATAATTTGAATAAAATCTACTTGATCATTTTTTTAATTGTACTTTGGACTCTGGGGTACATGTGCACATCCTGCATCCTGCAGGATTGTTCCATAGGTACATATATGTCATGGTGGTTTGCTGTCTCCATCCCCACCCCGTCCGTCACCTACATCAGTCATTTCTTCTGGTGTTCTCTCTCCCCATCCTCCCCGCCCCGTGCTATCCTTTCCCCCCCCACTTCCTTCCATGCCCACACCTAGCCCAGTGTGTGATGCTCCCCTCCCTGTGTCCAAGTGTTCTCATTGTTCATCACCTGCCTATGAGTGAAAACATGTGGTGTTTGGTTTTCTGTTCTTGTGTCAGTTTGCTGAGAATGATGGTTTCTAGATTCATCCATGTCTCTACAAAGGACAAGAACTCATTGATTTTTATGGCTGCATAGTATTCCATGGCGTATATGTGCCACATTTTCTTTGTCCAGTCTATCATTGATGGGCATTTGGGTTGGTTCCAGGTCTTTGCTACTGTAAACAGTGCTGCAGCGAACATATGTGTGCATGTGTCTTTATAATAGAATGATTTATAATCCTTTGGGTATATACCCAGTAATGGGATTGCTGGGTCAAATGGAATTTCTGTTTCTAGATCCTTGAAGAATCACCACACTGTCTTCCATAATGGTTGAACTAATTTACACAACCACCAACAGTGTTAAAGTGTTCCTTTTTCTCCACATCCTCTCCAGCATCTATTGTCTCCAGATGTTTTAATGATCCGCCATTCTAACTGGCAGGAGATCATATCTAAATGTGTTTTTGATTTGCATTTCTCTAATGACCAATGATGATGAACATTTTTTCATATGTTTGTTGGCCACATAAATGTCTTCTTTTGAGAAGTGTCTGTTCATATCCTTTGCCCACTTTTGAATGGGTTTGTTTGTTTTTTTCTTGTAAATCTGCTTTAGTTCTTAGTAGGTTCTGGATATTAGCCCATTGTCAGATGGGTAGATTGCAAAAAATTTTTCCCATTCTGTTGGTTGTTGGTTTACTCTAATGATTGTTTCTTTTGCTGTACAGAATCTCTTAAGTTTAATTAGATCCCATTTGTCTATTTTGGCTTTTGTTGCCATTGTTTTTGGTTTTTTAGTCATAAAGTCCTTGCCTGTGCCTATGTCCTGAATGGTGTTGCCTAGGTTTTCTTCTAGGGTTTTTATGAAGCTTTTTACACCTTGTTGGATTCCTTTTTCTAATATTGTGTTGAGAATTTTTGCACCTAAGTTCATGAGCAATACTGGTTTGTGTTTTCTGTCTCCACTGTGTTTGGCTTTTATAGTAGAGTAATAGTAGTTATATCAAACCGACTAGAACATATTTTCCTCTTTTTCTTTTTTGGGAAAATATTGTGTAATATTGGTTTTATTTCTTCATTACATGTTTGATTAAATTATCCAGCTTGGCTTGGATATTTCTGTTTCTTGTATCATTTAAATTCATGTTCTTGAAATGTAAAATACTTTCTATTTTACTTATTTTTTTTAACTTGTAAGTTTAGGGATACATGTGTAGGTTTGTTATATAGGTAAACCTGTGTCATAGGGGTTTGTTGTACAGATTATTTCATCACCGAGATATTAAGCCTAATATCTAACA